ACCATTCTTGTTATGTATGTATGCAAGCTACCTATCAAAAAGCATTATATGGCTTAGTCTCTGCTCCTTGTCTCTTAGGAGACAGAGGCTTAAGCCTTAACCTAAATAAGAATATAATGCACTTCCATGTCAAAGGGAGCACCTTTAAGATTTTCAGAAAGACGTAACAAATGCTCAATAGTGCACCTAATTTCTTATTCCTGTATTTGATTTAACATGTACTATCTTTTGACACAAGTTACTCTTTATCATGAAAAAAGATGACTAAGATTACTACTGTTTTGCTAGCTAGATAGTTGGAGAAGATCAGCTATGTCTAGCTTCAGAACAAACCAAACAAAAAACAACATAATAGTCAGAGAGCCACAAAAAGAAATTCAGATCAATATGAAACAAGTCATTATAGTCAGGAAGTAACAAAATAAATCCTGATTAACATGGAAACAAGTTATAAAACAGCACCTTTGCAACCATGAACCGAAAAAAAATGCTTCAAAAGAAAATGGCCTCCACCCACTTACCACAAAAAGACTGCAATCTGTCTTAAGAGAGAAAAACTCCAGAGAAGTCTCGCCCCCGCTCTCAAATGGTCTAATGTTATCATTCTTCCGGGTATATTTAACAGAATTATCCCTCTTCAAGTGATAAATTTCGGTCATCACATCATTCAATACTTGGCTTGTTTTCGTACCATGTAGTATCAAAGTCTTCTTCCCAGTTTCAACCTGCCAAAAACAATTGTCATCACAGTCAAAACCCCATCTTTCAAACCCCGCCAGCTCCCACACAGACAAAAAAGGTGACCTCCTATCGCGAAACTAACTACAGGAGTACTATTGATAAAGTCCAAATACACTACTCAATTAGAAAGTCTAAACCCCAACTACAACTATGAGTCGAGGACGAATCCTACAAATCCCACATAGAACAACATGTAGGCAATCAATCTAGTTAAAAATTATGACCATCTTTTTCTTTTCTTTTTTGAAATCCAACTATAGTAATGCCAATAAAAATCGAAAATTAGCTGAATAATGGAACAAACAAACTCAGGAACCCCAATATTCAGCTGAGCAAACTCACCAATTTCGGAGCACGCTTTTCAAGCTCCCTTCTGATTCTTCCTTTTTGTGGGGTTTTGAATTTCATCATGATTACCTAAGAAAAACGAAAAACAATTACACGATCAGCAATATGAATTCCTCATATTCAATCTATGAAGAAAAGAACTATGCATTAACTCACCAATACAAGGGGAAAAAATGGTGAAGAAAGGAAGAAGAAACAACTACTGCAAATATTAGGGTTTAAGAATTGAGGTTTTTGTGCGGGTCTTGGGCCAATAGTGATGAAAAACGCATAGGCCCAAATATATTGAGGTAATTTCATGGGCTTTGAGGAAAATACATTTACATTATTATAATAACTAAATAAGATCTTATATTACTAAAAATATAGAGAATTTTCTTTATTTATCAAACATAACACAATTTTACAAAATATAGCATATTTGTATCTCCTCTATTCGAATCTAAAGAACTTTAAAAGGCCATATGTATGTGTGAATATATTGGTACTTAAATTACACATCTATATTAGGAGCAATATAGTGAGATAAAAAAATGAATTGAGACTCTTTTATCTCTATACTTAGGTGAGATAGGAAATGAATAAATAGGTCAAAAAGAGAATTTCATTTCCTAGTCATTTTGTACATATTTTTAGTCTTTGTTTTCTAAATATTTATACTCTTTTTATACATTAAAGATGAACAAAATCAAATCCTAATATTGTTCTTATATATTTTATATGGTTTTGAGTTATCTAATGTTTAAATACAATAAAGATGAACAAAATCAAGTCCTAAATATTGTTCTTATATATTTTAGGGTAAAGGGTCAAATATGCCCCTAAACTATTCGAAAAGGTCTAGATATACCCTCCGTTTAAAGTTTGGCTCGCTCATGCTCTCGCCGTCCAACTTTTCGTCTAAATATGCCCTTATGAGAGTTAGTTGGCCTGCTGGACATATCCAACTCATTTTTTATTTCTTTAAATGTCACATGGAATTGCCATGTCATTTTGACTTTACCACAGGGCATTTATATGAAAATGGAAAAGGGTCAATTATGCCCGTAAAAAATTCGAACCCATAAACACCTAATCCGACCCATAAATCAACCCCCCTTTTAAATAAACTACCCGACCCATTTTCAATAATTTTTTTAAAATTTTTATTTTTTCGATAAATCCCGAAAATGAGTAATTGATTAATAAAAAATAGGAAAAATATAAAATTAACGCCAAAAATTCACAAATAAATATTGTAACCTTAAATTCAACAATTTCAACAATTTTTTAAATTTTTTTTTTTTTCGGTAAATCTCAAAAATGAGTAACTGATTAATAAAATATATGAAAAAAATATAAAATTAACGCCAAAAAATCACAAATAAATATAGTAACCTTAAATTCAAAAATTTCAACAATTTTTTTAAATTTTTATTTTTTAAAATAAATTACTCATTTTTGGGATTTGCCGAAAAAAATAAAAATTAAAAAAAATGTTGAAATTTTTGAATTTAAGGTTACTATATTTATTTTTGATTTTTTGGCGTTAATTTTATATTTTTTTCATAATTTTTATTAATCAATTACTCATTTTCAGGATTTACCCAAAAAAAAAAAAAATTAAAATTGTTGAATTTAAGGTTACAATATTTATTTGTGAATTTTTGGCGTTAATTTTATATTTTTTTCATATTTTTTCTATTTTTTGTTAATCAATTACTAATTTTTGGGATTTACCGAAAAAAATAAAAATTTAAACAAAATTGTTGAAAACGGGTTTGGTAGTTTATTTAAAAGGGAGTTGATTTATGGGTTGGATTAGGTGTTTATGGGTTCAAAATTTTTAGGGGCATAATTGATTCCTTTCCATTTTCATATAAATATCATGTGGTAAAGTCAAATGACAGGCAATTCCATGTGGCATTTAAAGAAATGGAAAATGAGCTGGATATGTCCAGCAGACCAACTAACGCCATAAGGACATAATTAGACGAAAAGTTGGACGGCGAGGGCATGAGTGAGCCAACTTTAAACGGAGGACATATCTAGACCTTTTCGAATACTTTAGAGGTATATTTGACCCTTTACCCTATATTTTATATTGTTTTGAGTTATCTAATGTTTAATAGCAGATTTGGATTCTAATCCTACTTTAAGGCAAAAAATGTTAATTAACCTTATTTGTCATTTTATTTATTTATTTTTCGAAAAATTACATGAATTTTATACAAATTTTATATATTTATATACATGCTTCATATCAATTTTATACAATTTTCATGCAAGGAAATTGTGAGCGAAATTTTGTATACGTTTTGAAAAAAAAATCATGTTATGTTTGGCAAGAAAATTCCCCTACATTTCATAAATATGAGTTTAATTTATATATAGGGTGGGTTTGAATCTTCCTTTGACAAATAGACATTGATTTTAGGTGAATTCCATTAGGAATCTTTTAATTAGAATGATTCAAAATAAATCAATGGAAAGTTAATGAATCAATTAATATCATTTTATGAAAGGAGCTATTAGAAATAGGGATACTGTTGATTAAAAAAAGTTGCCGTCAAACACTTTTAGCTCAATATGGATGGAGAACAATATTATACCAAATTTCATAGTTAAAGATCTTTTTAGACTCTTTTTCAAATTCTAAATTAACTATGAAAACCTTTGTGTATTATGTAAGATTCAATGAGATTATTTCAAGTTGTTCTGTTTTAGGGGTGTATATCGGTCGGTTCGATTTGGTTTATCAGTTTTTGGTTTTTAAATATGTTAAACCGATAATCAAACCAATAAGAAATTTGTTATCGATTTTCAATTTATCTGCTTTTGTTCTTTAACGGTTCAGTTTTAACCAATAAGAAAATGCTTTCAAATCAAATATATAACTTGTCCAACAATTTGGAGCGAAATAAAAAAGAGAGAAATCAAATTACTCGTTGAGTGCAAAAATTATGCTTAGTGTAGTAAAAGTATAGCAAATACTCACAATTCACAACCCTAGTCGTTATCTAATCCTTGCCGTCGTCGTTGCAAACCCTAGCCATCGTCGTTCTTAGTTCTTTAGGTTTTGACGTTGTGAACCTAAAGACTAAAATAATAATACTAAAATCAAAAGGGTAAATGCAGATAGTAAAGTGTAGTTTTAATTGTGTAGGATCCTTATAGTTATAGTCTAATATAATGATTATATTAATATATTTTGTGTAATATTTATGTATGACTAAAATTTAAAATAATAAATTATTATACTCTTAATGGGTTATCGGTTAACCCAATACCCAATATTAAAAAAACCAATAACCCAATAATTTTTTCCATAAAACCATTAAATAACCAATAACCCAATAACAATAAATCAATAACACTTTTTTCGGTTCGATTTATCTGTCGGTACGATTTTTGCACACCCCTAGTTCTAATGGGCTCGAGATAATTTTCTCTAAATCCAATGTGAAATAAGTGAATTTATCCGGTTAAGATATTCTTCATTGATTGAAATAAAATGATCTCCTCAATCAACTTAACTCTGCCAAGTCTGTACGAATAATAAAGAAGTACAAAACACTTTAGTTGATTGCTGACCACGAAAAACATGGGAGAAGAATGAGAAGAAGAATTTTGATTTTTTTTTTTTATATTTTTTGTTTCCTTAACACAAAGAATTTACGAGTAGGGCATTTTCATAATTTTTGTACTTAAATATAGTTTGTCATTTTTTATTTTTTTTAAAAGTACATCAAATTTAAGTTTTGGGTTATTTTTGCCATTTACCAATCCAAATGGTCAAAAAATGTCAATTTCTCAATTTAGAAACCAGGACTCTTCTCAGGCATATATAAGAGCTAGTACTCTTTTTCTCAAGCTAAAATCAATTGAAACGATATGAGCACCCCCACCCCCTCTGCCCACCCCCAAAATTCCCCAAATTCCCTCCGATTGCTCCGTTTTTGAATCGCCGATCAAGCTCCGAACTCTCAAATTTTCGATTCAATGTTTGTTGTAATTCTGATATCATAGATGATGAAAAGTAGTTTATGTTTGTTTAATTTCGTTTTTTTTGTTTGCCAATTTGTGATGTAATCGGTGTAAAATAGTTTAAATTTTAGGGTTAGGGTTTGGGTTTGGTTTTTGTTCATAGAGATGAAGAGTTCTCGTAGATCATGTCTGGAATCAGGTACAAAAAAGCCCAGATTAAACGAAGATTCTATTGGAATCAATCGCATTTCAAATGAAGGGAGTTTTATCCCTCAACGGGCTGTGAATTCAGGCTCTGTTGCCCCGAGATTTAGGGCAATTGACAGTTGGGAAGATCCCGAGAACAGTGATTCACTCTGTGAACCTTACCAGCCGCAACAGCCGCAGCAACAACAGCTTATCAGCGAATATAAGAGAGCCTTAGCAGAGCTTACCATTAATTCCAAGCCGATAATCACGAATTTGACTATAATTGCTGGTGAAAATATGCGCGATGCGAAGGCCATTGCTGCTATTATCTGCGCGAACATTCTCGAGGTGATATTCCAGTCTAAGTGCTGTTCTGTATGTTAATTGACTTCAATTAGTTTTCAGTAGACGTTATGGTTCTAAATTATTTAGATTAGTGTAGCTGGCTCGTTGTAAATGTGAGTGCATAGTGAAAAGTAGAGTACACAATTTGTAACAAATGTGGATTTCAGTGAAAGAAATTTGGTTGTGGAAGCAATTCGGTCTTTTACTATAATATATGGTTGTTTCTGTATGGTGATTGTGATGGTATGCTTATGAGATCAGTAGTCAGTCACGATGATTTCTTTGCTGTGTTTACAAACGTTGAGTGATGAGCACAAACAAAATTTTAACTGTGGTTATTTTCAGTGATCAATTGTGTAAGCTCTTGTGGATCCAATTTAGAGTTGTTCGTCCAGACTTGCAAAGCTATCTCATCTGCTGAATTTCAAGTACTATTTGTCACAACTTGGTTTTAGACAACTCAAGGTCCCTTCAACTCTATTAATCTTGTTAGATATTGTAAGGACAGTTTCCAACAAGAAGCACTAGGTGATTTCCTTTCATATGTCCAAGCACCTGGTACTTTGTGCTGGTGGGAGGTAGCAGGTACCCCGTGGAATTAGTTGGGGTATGGGCAAGCTGGCCCGGAGAACTACGGTTATCAAAAAGAAAAAAAGCAGCTTCCAGTCTTGCTTTACTTCAAACAGTGAAAGGGATGCTCCAGTCGCATAATCGTGAAACAGTTCTTATTACTTGTCTAGTAATTGAACTTGTTGGAAGGGTGTCTATAAATAATTCATCTATGTAGAGCATCATTGGAGTCGGTTTTACACACTTAACCTGTATGAAGGATATGCAGGATTTACCCTGTATGAATGATGCATGCAGGATAAATACCTTTTCTTTTATTATTTGTTCAAAAAAGTATTGAAGTGCTCTCCATGTTAAAGGGGCATATTGTCTCAAATAATTTTGCTTTTCTCAGCCCATTTATTTTTTAAAGAAGTTGATATTTCTATGTTTATCTTGGTTCTTTGGGTTTTAAAGGGTAACTAGGGGATCTAATTTCAAGCTGTCTTATGGTACATGTTAGTAAATCTTTCTCATCAAATTGACTTATCTTGGAGTTGTACTACATAGACCCTATGATGCACCTTCAAGTAATTCTAGTGACACCTCTGATTCTGAGAAATTCTTGTGATACAGAGATGGAATCTTGTTGGGACAATAACATATGATAATTATAAGATCTTTCAAATCAGTGTCTCGCTGCAGAAAATCTTCTTTGTGTACATGTTTTATTGAGATCTCAGAGCCTTAGTTTCACTAGGAGCAAAGTTTTGCCTGTTTTTTCACCGAAGACAGAAAACGTCATAGTTGCCAAACATTTCGACAAAGAGGTCGTTCTTTCGTTACATTCTCGAATCATGCTATCTCACTTTTTTTTCTGATACGGCTCATGACCTACAAAAATACCTCCAACTCAATCACTGTTCAATGGTTGCTGGACTATTGCTAAGTTTTGGATCGATTAAACGCACACTCACCCTCTAGATTAGAAGAATAAGAATAAACGCACACTCAACCCCTTTCAACTCTGATACTGTTTTCCGCATAACCCTTTTAGCAAGAGCTGAAGTTGTCTTGAAGAATCTACTTCCAATCTCTGGATGGTGTCTCAAGTCCTCTAACTTAGCATAAAAGTAGGTGTCTCTTATCTTTTAATCCATTTTCCTATTTATGGTCGAAGGTATGTCTGAAAGAAGTTACAGCTGCTTCATGACAAGTTTCAATAGGCAGGTTTCTCACTCTACCGCTCATCAAAACTCTTGGATTCTTTGAATGGTTGTTCTCCTTGCGACATTAAATTGCATTGGTAAAATAAAGACTATGCAGGTAAAACTAGTTTACGATGCAGTTTTAGTTAGTTCGGGATTGAGGTGTAGTTGTTCTTCTGGTTGTAGGTAGTGGATTCAGTTGTTTCCTATGTTAACATGAGTAAGTCTCCGTTCATATAGGGTCCATCTTTCTGAATATTAGATGGTTGTATATGGTGATTCTTCAGCCATGTTACTGCTCAGTTTCTGTACGCTGATTATATAGACATGTATGAGTGTCCAGTAACTCCTTCCTTCATTTTAGACTGTCCTGTGGGACTTCACATTTGAAAGGGCATACCAGTTTTCTCTGTACTTCTTTGACTGATTATGCTGTCTTTCTTGCTGTTTGCCTTTTGTCATCATTTTGAGAATTTGCTTTCATGCTCTTTCTTTGCTTTTACTCTGTATCACCTGACTGTTGATGGCTATGACAAGCTCATGTTAATCTACCTTTGAACATCATTTACAGATTCCTAGTGAGCAAAAGCTGCCATCTCTCTATCTTTTGGACAGTATTGTGAAGAATATCGGGAGGGATTATATCAAGTATTTTGCTGCCAGGCTGCCTGAGGTCAGAATTTGATCTATATGCACTTCATTGAGATTCTGTTTTTCTCTCTAAATTTTGTAGTTTCTTATGTCTTGCCTCTTTTCCTGAGAAAGGCTTTGTTGCTATTCTTATCCGCTTTCTATTTTTTCAAATTTCCCCCCTATGATGTAACACACATCTGAATGGATGAAGATGTAGAAATGAAACTCATTCTGTCATCTACTCATCTCTTATATAATTAAATACGTGTAGTTTGGTAAGTGTGCTAATTGGTGCATAATAGCCTGTTAAGTTTTTTCATCATTATTGGTTTTCCTTTTTATGTTTTTAGGTTTTCTGCAAGGCTTATAGACAGGTAGAACCTTCGGTACACTCTGGGATGCAGCGTCTTTTTGTAACCTGGAGAAAAGTATTCCCTCCTCAGCAACTTCAACTTATTGAGAAGGAGCTTGGATTTACAACTGGTGTCAATGGTTCTTCATCAGGAGCACGTAGAGATGATTCGAAGGCTCAACAGACTGCACATAGCATTCATGTAAATCCCAAGTATTTAGAGGCAAGGCAGTGCCTACAGCAACCAACCAGAGTTAGTATTTTCTATGCTTGGTTTGAAAAAGTTTGTAAATTCTGTTTGTTTTAATGATCAGATTTTGTTTTTGAAACACTTATCCGGAGAAAAAGATTTTCTTTCCTTTGTGTTTATGTTTGCGGAGCACATATGATAGTGCCTGTAGTTCTAATTTTGTTTTGGAGTTGGGATGAATTGTTAGGTAAGTGAACTATAGACCACTTATGTAGTGGAGTCTAAATGGTAAAATATTAGTGGTCTTGCCAAGTGCAAAACCGGTGTTTAAATTGAGGTCGTGCTTGTCAAAGATAGTATAGATAATGTTGATCCCACGAGGATTGAGTTTCTAATATGCTAATTAGTATTGCTTGAATACTATTTGGGAAATCTAATAATTTTAGAAATATAATTCAAAACTTGATAATGATTGGAAAAAGAAATAACCAACCCAATTAGAACAAGCCCTTATAACATAGGGAGATAAATGAGTTGAATCAAGAATCCACATATGGAATAACTGACGATTTTCACTTCCTTTCATCAAACCTGGTTAAAATATGAATGTTTCTCACGAATACATTCATTCCCTCTAATCCTTTATAATTATTGTACTCCTTTCGGTTATACAATTAATAGAAAGAAAAAGATGTATAAAGATGTGAAATTAGTGTTGAATGATTCTCTAAAGATAGAAATATATAGATTTCTCTCGAATATCTATCACTGTTATCGAAGGCGAAAAGCACAAAAAAACTCTAAGGTCCGTTGGGATTTTAGCACAAATAAAGCGTGGGCTTAATGAAAAAAGGCTCAATGTGAGAAGATATATATGTTTAGTCTAAGACTAATAATTATAAACATGAATGACAAATATATGACCAAAGAAATTGAAATTTTTTTTTTTTGAGAATTAAAAGATTACAAACTGACTAAGTTTGCTCTCGTTGAGAGTCGAACTCAAGACCTCCCGCTTACTAAATGGGTGCTCTAACCAACTGAGCTACGGGAGCTTGAAAATAAAATTATGATAAAGTGAAGTATCAATTGTTTAGTGTCACCTCTTCAGAACAGGCTCATTGGCAAGGAAAAACACGCCTTAGAACCTAGATAATGAGAAGCGCTCAACACATTTTGAACCTCGCTTTAGGGCTTAAGCGCGCCTTTGACAACACTGATATCTATGTGACACAACTAAGTTAAAATACTAATCCCTTCTCGTGAATAGAATCAATTAGTATTCAACAAAAGAATATCATACACCCAATCAAATCAATGGGGAAATTGATATCTTGCGAGTAATAAATCAATGAACTCCTCAAGAAGTCAAATAAGCACATGCAATGAAAGGTAAAATCAAACACTAATCAAACCATAGGTTTTAACAAACCTCAACTACGAGAAAGCCATTCCATAAATGGAGTAAAAACAACCATAGAAAAGTTAAGATTCATCGGGTTCATAACAAAAAATTAAGAGATGAAGGTTTAGAAGAAACTCTAAAGTCTAAATCTCTTGAATACTCCTTAAAAATCTTGAGTTTTCTCTTCTTTTCTCTCCTCTTTCTCCTAGAAGTTCCGTTGTCTAAAGTGTGCCCCATTTTGTACTCAAGTCACAGCGACAGAAACTTTGACTGCTGTGACGGTCAGGGCTGCCTAACAAATTTTGAAGGAGCATCACAGTGATCAAAACTTTGACTGCTGCGATGGTTGGGGCTGTTTTGTGCCCAATTATTCTTCACTTGTTTTTTCTCCATTTCTTGCATCTCTTTCGCTTGAATCTTGTGTATTTCCTCCTCATCTCCTTCATTGCATATCTATCATCAAAACTATACAAATATGTGAGGAATTACATCATGTAATACTTAAATTCACTAATTCAAACACTAGAAAAGGCATAAATACACATATAAATGCGCCTCATCAGGTCTCAATACTCATATCCTCATTGATGGGTGTACTCATTGTAATTGTTGAAGAATGACAAAAGTCCCACATTAGTAGTTAATGAGGTGGGTGGACTTAACGCTTGAGCAATCCTCCTCCCTTTGAGCTATCTTTTGGGGTTGAGTTAGGCCCAAGATCCATCTTTACATGATGTTTTGCCAACTTGTAATGTAAACTGGTTCAAGCAAGTAGTATCAATGCTTTGGTTACAAATGATGCTCTGAGGATTTTCCTTACACATATCTCTCCTGGTCAATTATCCTTATTATTGTTGTTTATTATGATTTAAGGCAAAAGGATCAGCTGATGACATCACTCCAGGGGACATACAGAAACCAGAGAGAGCAACCAGTGTAGGTTCTGAAAGATCTTGGTTCGATATATCTGCTAAGGTGTGTGGTATATATGTGTTTCTAACATATACATGCATGATTCTTCTATGAGTCTAAGCCAGTTGATATTGCAATATATGTAGTGTGTTCAGAAAGAGCAGTTGAATGAGCGAATCCGCGAGAAAACTACAAGTGCAGCATATGGAGATCCTGAATATGTTTCTGATTTGTCAAGGAGTTCTGGCTTTGGATTAAGAATAACAGGTGAAAAGCTAAAGGAAGAGGGACGTGATAAATCTTGGTACAATCCTGCAAATGGTAAGTTATTAAGTCAAAGAAATGGCTTGGACCTTAAGCATGGAGTCCAAAGTCCATCCCAGAATACGGCAAATTCTGATGCATATCCACAACCGACACACTCCTTCGCCAATCAAAGTGGTACTTTGATGGATCGGAGTTGGCAGAGTTCTGATGAAGAGGAGTATATGTGGGATGATGTCAATTGTGCAGATAAAGATCAACGGGCATCCGAAGATCCATATAAAACTGTAAGTGTAAATGTTTACCTGATTCTGCCCCTCACCCTCCTTCCCAAAAGAAAAAGTAAGTAACCTGTTTGTACATCATGTGCAGTGCATCTCCCTTATAGATTATGTTCTGGGTTGAGTATCCCCTCTAAATTGAAAATATTGCTGATTATATCTATAAATATTTTCAGCAATATCTAACCTGCTAGTGTGGTTTTTACGTCCAATTCAAAATGTTCACTCATATAATTTTCACATTATACCAGCCAACTACTTCTCATTCTCAAAAAACTAACTTCAGTTTTGAGTAAGACTACTAGTTGTCAAACATGAAAAGGAACTTCCATCCCCATCTTTCTGATCCTTGTTGGCCTCTCTCTCTCTCTCTCTCACTCTCTCACTCCCTCCATCCCTCTCTCTCTCTATTGAGATCTCAAAGCACCTATTGTATACCTCTCTACCCTACCAATCTTCTTATTAAATGATATATATCAGCTTTCTTCTCACCTAGGGTGAACTGAGGATGGATACTTAAGTAGTTCCCCAGAATAAAAATTAGCTATCTTTGTTATAATGATATAATCATGCTTTAATTTGTGGAGAGGTTTTAATTCATTTGCAATTGGATGTTTTGTCTGACTTTTTATATGAACCTCCTCCTCCATGGTTTCTTGTCTTGTTCTTTGGTTGTTTAGTCTGGTGTTTCTGCAATATGAATAGAGAACCTCATGCTGCATCTTGTTATTTGCATGAATGTGCAGGGCTTAGATAATCAACATCCGAGACCCCAAAACATATTTGGGTTAAAGGCTGAAAGTGAAGCCTCGGCTGACTCTCTTTCCAGAGAAGACAATGGCCAAGCATCTTCCGAGAATCAAATATCATCGATGTGGTCAGATGAAGCTAGGCATTTGGCTTCTGTTCAAAGTACTCCAGATCATCCAAGAGGTCATCTAACCTCTTTCAGTGGGTTGCCAACAGCTACAAACTCCATAGTTGGGAAATCTTTCCAGTCACAGAAAGATTCAAGTCATGTGGGGACACCAAGTTATGGAATAGCAAAGACTGCAAATGGATCCAGGGGAACTATAATGCAACCACGAGAAACTCAAGGAGCTGCCCCTCCATCTTTAGAGTCAGTGATGCGTCAGCTTCCTCCGTCTCCATCAATCTCGACCGGCAATTTTAGTCAAGTAGTTAACAGTCTCACTAGAGATTATCATAGACAGACAGAATCTCATGCAGACCCAAGAATGTCTCAATTCTCAAGGAGGTCAAATTTAGATCCCCGTAAGCAAATTCCCCAGGACTCTATGCCAATGACATCTCAGAGTGCTCATTTGGTTAGTTCACAGATATCACAGACTCCAAGATATAATCCATCTTCCATGATGTCATCTTTTCAAGAAGAACATCATGTCTCTTTTCCTGAAAAAATCCAACAAGAAAGTCCTGAATCTGAATTTTCCATTCCCAGCCAAAAGTCAATAGTCACTCAGCTTTCTGGTTTTGCTGATCATTCTGGCACTGTGCCTTCCATTCTTCAAGGCTCTGAATCCTCAGGTCAAACGAGTATGAGTAGTCTGTTGGCTGCTGTTATGAAGAGTGGAGTACTTAATAGTAGCTCTAGTGTCGGCACACCACTGAATTCCCAAGCCGGTGCACAGCCTCCTATACCCAGTGGTTCTCCTATCCAACTTTTGTCATCTGGACCAAAGGCTCCACATTCTGTTGTGAGCGTACAATCGGACAGAAATGTTTCAAATCCCCCAAGTTATTCCCAGAGAAATGGAGAACGACCACGACTGCCACCTGACCCTGCTCCAACTCCGGTAGGTAGTGAATCATTGCAGGCTCCAAATGTGGTAAATGCTGCTTCTAATCCTGTTGCAAAACTTTTGAATTCATTGATGGCAAAGGGATTGATATCTGCGTCAAAGGAGGAGTCTCCAACTTCAACTCCTCCACCGACACCTCCACAAACTCGGTTCCAGTGTCCTCCTGCAAGCATCAGTTCAACTCCTGGTGTATCTGCTCCAATTTCCTCATCCACTTGCTTGTCTCAAAAGGATGAGCTGTCTCTCTCTAAACCTGCTGCTAAAATCCCTGATGCATTACCTCAGTCCAACAAAGAAGAGAGAGAAGATGCATTTAAACCAGGTGTAATTCGGGAGTCCAATCCTGGTGTCATCAGTGAACTTCTTGATGACGTTCCACATCAATGTGGCATATGTGGTCTTCGACTTAAGCTCCGAGTGCAACTTGATAGACACTTGGAATGGCATGCATTAAGGAATCCAGATGGGAAACTGTTGCATAGTGAAAGGAGGTGGTATTTAAATTCTGGGGAATGGTTTGCTGGAACCGGTAGCGTCCCACACTGTGCTATATTGGCAGTACCAACTGGAGGTTCTAGCAAACTATCAGAATCCACTGAGGTTATGGTTCCTGCTGATGAAAGTCAGTGTGTATGTGTCTTGTGTGGTCAGGTTTTTGAAGATTTTTATGATGAAAAGAGTGACAAGTGGATGTTCAAAGGAGCTGTTTACATGGATGATTCATTGAACGAAAGCGGTATTCAGAATCCTATAGTCCACAAGAACTGTACATCAGAAGATTCTCAAAATTGGATGCTTAAGGATGATATAAAACAGGTACGTCAACTGTATCCATAAGTTTTTCCTTTGACATGTCTGATCTATAAAATAAATGAGAATGGTTATGTAGATTCAATTCCAAGTTACCGGTCTGATTTAGTTTGTGTTGTATTAACTATATTAAGTATAACATTTTTGTGCTTGATTGAACTGTGTATAAACAAAATGGGGATAATTGTTGTGTTGAATCAACTCGGTGAAAGGGTGTCATATAGTTTATGTTGGAGTTTTTGTGACTTTTTGGTGTTTGATGTACATTGTATTTGTCATAAATAAGCTTGTTGAGTTATTTCACTATATGCTATTTTGTCATGTCAGCATGCATCAGGTACAGTTAAATGTACGTAATATCTATTTCTATGAGGATATATGTGGGTATTGATGGATGATGTTGATATTCTGGTTTTAACTCTGCTTATAGTTGAATATGATTCTCCAAGTGTTTGAATTGAGGTTTAAATGGTTAGCTCCCTTACTTTAAGTCTTTGTTTTTATCTTCTCATTCAGTTCTCGGTGCTTATTGGTTAAGATATCGGTTGAGTTCTCCTAAATAGATGACTTCTGTGGCCTAAGTTGAAAACTGAAACTCAGTGGACTGACATAAAGAAGAGGAATCTTAATGCAGAGAACTTCTGGGGATCGATCATTCCTTTAATTATGCATAAGAATTGCCAACTTGCTTTATTATGCTTATTATAGTTGATATATTGTTCTTTGGTATTTTTTTTCTCTTTGCACAAGTTACTGCGAGCTGTGATTACTTCCGTGCTTGATTGGATTAGTTGTCATTACTTGACTTATATTTGATATCACTGTTTCAATTTCGCAGGAGTCGGAAGACTGGTTTTCTGATTTCATGGATTAAAAGGAATTGCACAGGGGTATGTTAATTCAAGGTGGATAGGTTCAGTACAATTTACTTGTACTGCTTGTGCATCTTCCTTGTTAAGCCTCTTCTAGGCTTTGCTTTTAAGTTATAATGTGATGACAATCTTACATTTTTGGCATCATGTTATCCAATTTCGGTTGAATCCTTTGTATCTTACATTGTCCTGAGCAACATGGCGGCGGTAGAAGCTCATATGCGGTTCGGCTGAACCCATTAGCCTTTGCTCAAACAATGTTTGTTTCAGAAAATTCATAAAATATGTACAACATTAAATTTAGAAACCAGGTGCTAGTTATTAGCACTTGAAGTTGTTCTAAAACTCAAAACCCATAAAGCTGAAATCACAGCTTCGCCTCTGCTGAGCAACTGTTGCCATTGAACCAAAATCATGGAGCTGCATTTCCATTCGAACTGCAAAATCAGAGTTATGACCTAAGCAAGCTACTGCATCACCTTCTCTATGAGCTATGGATTTAAGTTTTAAGTAAAGCATTACATCTTGCTACTGATTTGAGGCTGGAAAATAGTTGGAATTCCTTTCTTTATTTCGGTGTTCGTGCCATATCCCTTTTTATAGATGGTGTATTTTCGATGTGAGATGAAAACATAGTTAAACTTGCGATGCATTCTCCTTGTAAGTTCTTGCTTGATGCTGTTTCAAGCTGTTGGTTCTATAACTATGGACCCAAATAGAGCAAAATCAAAACAGATGATTATTCATATAGCCCGACTCCAATTAATTGCAACTCAGTTGTAGTTGATTGATTATTGATATTATCTGTTGTTTGTTATGACATAAATGAAAAACCTAGGTGGGATTTTCCAGTGCGAATTCAGATTTAGTCGGGCTGAAATGTGGGTACTGAACACCTGGGAAACCAAAAAAAGGGGACAAAAGTGCAAATGACCCTTAAGAAGTCCTCTTGTTTTAACATCTGATACTCGTGCTTCCAACTTTAATATCAATTGTCGTCCATAAAAAGCTGTATATTGCAATTCGTAACTAATTGGTTAAAGTTGGAAACACGAGTATTAGATGTTAAGAGGTTTAGAAAAGAGGACTTCTTAACGGTCATTTGCACATTTGTCCCTATTCTGTGCTGGTCTTAATTTATGTCAAAACAAACAACCTTTTCTTATGGGAAGTAAGTTTATATTTTTGTATTATGATATTTCTCAAGTTATGTTCGGGCATGACTTTAGTTCCTAGAGAATTTATGTCTCACTAGCCATAGTACAATTTTATGACTTCTTAAAGGTTTAAGTGGCGAGACTGAAATGATTTGGACATGTGAAGAGGAGGTGCATAGACGCTCCAATGAGGAGGTGTAAGAGATTGATTGTAAGGGATAGACAGAGTGGTAGAGGTAGGCCGAAAATGTATTGAGAGAGGTGATTAGACAACATATTGCACAATTTCATATTATTGAAGACATGACTCTAGATAAAAAAGAGTGGAGGTCGCTTATTAATAAGATTGATTTTCAAACATAAAAAAATATGCCTCTAAGTGAAACATCTCAAATCACCATATACTTGTGAAGACGCATAAAAGAGTAATTAAAAGTTTCCACTACTCATTAATAGCTCATAAAACATATACTCCATTATTAATAGACTAATGCTACATCTTATGATAAATTAATTAAAAATACTTTTGTTGGTATAAAATATCATATCTAAACTTCTTCTACAAGTAGATAAGCTTTGTAGTTTAATGTAGAGATAATTAATCCCTCTTTAGCCTTTAGGGCTTAGGTTTGTTTTGAGTATATATGTAATCCAAGTGAGCCTCAGCTACCATCCTTCTATTTAAACAAACTTCATCTCTGTCTTCACATTCCTCCATCCCCATGAGCTGTTCAAGAACCATAAAAGACAATTTATTAAAAAAAAAAGAAGGAAGAAGTTTCATTAAAGTTAAAATCTTTTGAACTGCGTGATTATCTCATCTCATACATCCCCTCAAATTCAAAATAAGTCTTCGTTTTAACTTTTTTCATGTTCATGTAGAAAAATAATAAATACAAGGTAATCATTTACTATAACATGTCTGGCCCTATTTATTGGATCTTTTTTAGAATTGAACATAAGAGGAAGTAATTTATTAATATGAGGATATAGTTGGAAATAATTACTAATTATAGTCTTGAGTTTTTTAAGCGGCAATTATTTTAGGAGGAGGGTGTAAAAGTTACTTTCTATTTATTAATTACGTCTTTTTAACATGCCTCTCGTGTTAACCTGATTTTTGACAGTGAACTCAAATTCAGAATATATGTTTGTTCTGTTATTATGTTATGTTGCGTTGCTGCAGTGTCAAACAAAAGGCTTAAGCTTTAGAAATGACATATTTTTATGTAATTAATTATGTCTTAACAAAATTAATGGGAATTGAATCTTCTAATTCACACACACATCGAAATCATTTAAAGCAAAATCAAAGTTGAAAAAAGAACTTACATTGGTGAAGTCTTCTTCTTGTGTGGGAATTGAATGAATAATCCCATTAGCTTCAATCTTGTTGATATCTATATGAAAAGCATATTAATCATTAATGATAATTTATCTCTAGACGATCCATAATTGGACCTTAATTATAAGCGTTACAAAATAAATAAAGGGACTATACACAAACAAAACAAAAAGATAGAGAGAGAAGGAATTAGCAACGAAATTCATTGTTAATCTATCGCTCAAAAACATGTAATTAACATTTTTTTAGTAATTTATCGCTAAATAAAATTAACGAATTTTTTTTACTGTTTAGCGATAGAATTAAATTGTCCGTACCTCGATTATTTGTAGGAGGAAGACGAGCCGATATTGTTTGGGAAATGAGTAGTAGTATAATGAAAGATGAAATAAGAGATAAATTAAGCATAGACTTCATAGAGATTGATCTTCTTCTTTAAATTTCTTGTGTGAGAGAAAGAAATGAGTGAATATATGAAGAGAAAAATTATAATATATATTAATGGTGATGGGAGTATGTATAAATAGCAAACAATAATTTAGAGAGAATGGCATTAAAGAGTTTGGCAAAAGTCACATGAACGAAAATAAGTATTTTGCTTTCTTTTCCATTTAAAAAAGAAGTAAATAATGGTTTCACTTTTTAGATAAAAGAAAATGAATTTCTGCAAGAAAAGTAAAAAAGGTTGCGTTTTTGCTAATTCTAGAAAGGGAGTCAACCAGTCATAAATGAAGTCTGCCAAATGGTTGAAAATTCTATATTATTACTTGCTGCGTTTTAATTTATATAATATTGTCTAACTTAAAACATAATTTAAGAAAAAAAATTTAAAAAAATTTGTATCACTATAAATATTTTATTAAGAATAAAATGAAAATTTTAAAATTAAATAATTCCAATTATGAAAAGGTTACATTCTTTTTTATACAAACTAAAAAAAATGTGTCACAAAATGTAAGAAAAATAAAGAATTTTAGAAATTTGTATGACTATAAACATTTTTTTAGGAATAAAAGGAAAATTTTAAAATTAAATATTTCCAATTATGAAAAGGTTACATTCTTTTTTATACGAACTAAAAAAAGTGTCACAATTTTATTTTATTAAAAAAGAATTTTAAAAATTTAGATGACTATAAACATTTTATGAAGAATAAAAGGAAAAAATTAAAATTAAATATTTCCAATTATGAAAAGGTTACATTCTTTTTTATACGAACTAAAAAAATGTGTCACATAAATTGAGACAGAATGAAGATTACTTTTACTTTTTTGTTTTGTTTTGTTTGGTAAAAGAGATAATTAGATTTGTTCGTTGAATAAAATATTTTTCTAAGATACCTTAATTAGTTTGGTAAAATCCATTTTAACGTTGAATAATCCATGGCGTTTTGAATTTATTGAGAATATCCACTTTCAAATAAATTAATAACTCTTTTTTTAAAAAAAAAATACTTGTTAGAAGTCAAAACTGAAACAACACCAAGAACAATTTATAAAGACCGTATTGTCAAGTGTTAATCACGAAGTTTGAATTGTAGTTAATTATATTGTATTGACACGATTCAAGATCATGATACGTATTGTCTACTTTGAGCTTCTAAATCCACACAGAATTGTGTTTTGATTTATGTCAGTCACACCAAACTCTGAATATAAAAGTATGTGTATCATGTGAACTTGAGTTATGTCTTATAAAACTCTTCACTTTTTTTTTATACCAATATTTCAATGTGAAATTCGTCTAAAATATCATGTAAACCTCATCTTCAGAAGTCTATCAATCCTATTTATCCGTCCTCATCAGTCTGCCCTCCATAAGGAACGTCACATGTATGTGTTGTGGAGATATGAATTATGAAAGAATTTTCCTACTTATATACATACGTGTTAAAATAAGAAATAGCTTGAAAATTAAAGAGATTAAATGTACCACATCAATTTTCTTTTCTTGATACATACATTGCATATTTGATTTTTCATAATTAAATTTTAGAATATTACTCCTATAAAAGACAAAAAGTAGTAGTCCTAATACATGACAGGTGAATGAATTAAAATTGCTAATACATGATCGTTAAATGAAGCTAATTAATCTATAGTCTTTTTTTTGGTAATAATTAATTTGTAGTCATTCCGAAGCTTCTTTCTAATCTTAAATCAAATTAATTTTTTTTTTGTCTAAATTCGTCAAAGGAAATGTGCATGAGATACAAACTTCTTTCAAAAGCTGAAATTACTTTTTAGTATATAATTTAATTTTCCCTTATTAAGGTCTTTCTTAAGTATTTTTTTTTTATCTTCACAAGATAGAAATAATGTTGTATGCATACTATTCTTTTGGACTTTATTTAATTTTATAAAGTTATACTGAATATTATGTTATTATTGATTTTTTCAGTTTAGAGTTCGTATTATGACTAGATAGTTATTATGTAGTAACATCGTTATTTTTTCAATAATTCTGTGTGCTTAATATGAATTTTTTTTGAAATTTGCTTATTTGAAAAGATGCGCTTATATAATCTATGTAACTTATGAGATATACAAGAAACTACTATACTCTAAAGAAGATTTAAAGTAGTTGTTCATTTTTAACATTATAAGAGGAAGTATTAATAATATGTTGAGATGGCCGAGTTGGTCTAAGGCGCCAGATTAAGGTTCTGGTCCGA